AGCGGAGCCGCCGCCGGGGACGCGCCGGTGCCAGGACCCGGCTCTGTCCCGCCGAGCCCCGGGCCGGGCTCTCCGGCAGCACGGAAGGCAAAAACGCACGCAATAATTCGCATGAGGACGGCAGGGAAGAAAAAAAAAAAATAATAATAAAAAAAAAATCGAGCAACTTAAAATCCCGTGGCGGCTTCAGTCCCTCCGTTCGTACCGAGTGCCAGGCTGAGCCGCTCGTGTCCGTGCTGAGACCGGGGCAGCCCAAAAGCAGGAATATGCCGTCAGTCGTAATGCAAATGACGAAATGAAAATTATTACTTCATGCAGCTTTTATTTTACCCAAGCTATTTAAATAAAGAGTAGCGATAATAAACCTCCTCTTGACCCAATTAAAAAAATGATGGTTAATGGAGATTTGTATGCACTTGCATTTAGCATTGGAGGGGGGGGGGGAAGAGAAGAGGGAAAACGGCTAATTGCAGGCACTAATTAGGACTCTAATCCCCCTCCCAGCAGGCACAGAGATGCCCCTGAATGCCGTTAGTTGAAATCACTTAAGTGTCGGTCTGTCTGACCTCGAGGGGCACAAACGAAAAGAAATTGAAGCCTGATTTTTAAATTTCAAACAACAAAAAAAAAGTGACTCTAATGACAAGTTCACTCAATGGAGAGGAAATGTAAAGCTCAGCGGAAGCGTTAATTCCATGACAATGGTGTAAAATAGCCTTTTTGTGTAAACAAGGCAAATATTGATAACTTAGTGGGGGGGAGAGGGGGAGTCATTTGTTTCATTCTTTGTAGAGCTCCACAGAACGAGTCAACTATAAATTATCGAGAATTTAGGGCTGAGAATTACTTTGGGGGATTATTACTCCCTCTTAGGACTGATCTGTAGGAGACGTTAGCAGAACACAGCAAGCTCAGCATTGAAATAGAAATCATGTTGTTGCCAAGAAAGCTTGATTTATAAAGTGGAAACATCTTTAAAATGCACTCGCTATCTTTTTAATGTTCGACTGTTTCATTGTGGGAGGGGGGGAAAAAAAGAGATTATTTTATATTAAGAGGATCATCAAAAGATAAAAAGTTTATGTTAGCAAAGTTCCCTGAACTTTGCATAAAACCGCTCGCCTCCTTCAGACATAAAATCCTGCCCATCGCAGCGCCCAGAGGCTGGGACGCTGGGCTCCATAAATCAGAACCTTTCCTTGTTCCTCCTATTTGAGGTTTGCTCTAATTACGAATTTCTGCTCCAGAGGCTTTTCTGTTGCTGGGTTTTAAAGGCTGAGTTATACGTAGTGCAAAAATTGCCCCGTCTTTGCCGCTGCCTGGAGCTGTAGGTACCCACGGGCTGCCTAAACCCGAGGGAAACGAGAAGAAAACCGCCCACGCGTGATTTCTTTAGGCGCTGACCGTCGCGAGCGGCGTTTTGCAGAGCAGCTTTTTCGGGAGGCAGCGTGGCTCGGCTCATGCCGCCCTTTGCGGATGAAACCCCGTTGTTCGGGTGGCTGCC